TACCTTGGCAACCAAAGCTAAAAGCCGGTTTTAAGTCTGTGCGCTCTGTAATTACTGGCTTAACAGGCGTGACTTAAGCCTGCTACAGATTGTTGGACTTTAAAGATTATGTTTGAAGCAGCATTTTGCTGACACGTATTCATCTTGTTATCTGCCATAGCCAAGTTCCCCTCCGTTCTGTGGTCTTAGTCCAAGATGATACAGCATCCTTCCACTTCTTTTGTTCCTGCTTGTTCCCACCAGTTAGTTACTTTCATTATATGCAACAATTCTCATTTGAATTGGTCTCCACATCCCGCCACACAACATGGTTAAGCCACAGCATTTCAGAGATTCCCTCAAACCCACAGGACATATAGAAACTCCAACAATGTCATTTTTTTAAAATATTGAGTCACTGTGGACAGTAAAGAGTCCTCTAACAATGCAGAAGTCTGCCCAGTCAGCCAGGGGCTTTCTGTGGTTACATGACAGTGAGGTTGGGCTAACCTCAAAACAGAGGGTAAGCATTTTATTTAGGTGCTTTTGGCAAACAACCTCTTACCCTGCAAGGAAAACGGTATTACCATTCCCTCCATGGCGACATATTAATCAAGTTCAACTTTTCCTTTCTGGCAACAATAGCAGAAGCATATTAAAAGCTTTCAACTTATTTTTAGAGCAGAAAAACCCTGAAATGATGTGACTAGTTAAATTGAAGGGTAAAGTAATGATATTTAATCATCATTTGAATGGTCAAATTTTGTAGTAAAGAATCCAAATCATCGTAGATGAAAACAAGTTAAATGAGATACATTTAAGTTTAATAATGGACGGATTTCCAGACTCCCCGTCTAATGAAGAGTTCTCATAACGGCGCTTGTACTTTTTAGTTGTAGTGTGAGCTCTTGGGAACCATGCATGGTTTATCCTATTAGCTTGACCGATATTGCTTTGTTCGTGAACTGTTTACCAGCCGACCCCCTGCGAGGGGGGAACCATGCATAAATCCCCATTATGTGAGAAAAGGATGAGAAAATGTTGCACTTAAGGGGTGGCAGGGCAGGAGTTGCATTAAGAAATACATTTAAGCTTAACAGCTTATTCTAAGTCATCCACAATATTGTTCATCAAGTCCCCTAAACTCATCATGTTATCTTGATTCATTTGTTTATTCTTTTCTCCCCTTAATTGTTATTATTTATGACTATGCATGTTTTCTGCTGTACTTAGTGGTTTGGTCTTGTCAATTATCTCTGTATTGGGTTTTGCAAGACGACCAGTATATGTACGCTGGGTGTACTAGTAATGTCTCATTTTCGATGCAGAAAGATTGTAAGACATCAAATATGTAAATGTTGCAATTCTGTATGTTTGTGCTTATGATAAGAAATAAAAATAAAAAGATATGTACAAAATAAAATTCAAAATAACCTAGCTTTGAACTACAGGTCAATATACACACACTTAATATCTTTCAAAACACGCAACTTATTAACCTTATTATTTGGTCACCAAAGCTCTAATATCGCATCAGCTTATGTGTGTATGTGAGATTCATCGTCTTATTCTGGGAGAGTACATTTCCTAAAGTGAAATACTTCCAGAGATTACAACATAATAATCTCTGTTGATTTCTTTCCTGCGAAAAAAACAAAACATACCAAGACTGAAAGCTCAATGTTGGGTTTTATATTGACATTACTTCCAGGCAGAATAAACCATTTAGATATTTGCATGGAGGTTCACCGGTACAACAACAATCAAATTACTAATGCTTCATCCTGTTTGTCTAATATCCTAGTTATAGGAAAGACACTAAAAATATGCTTTAAAATCGTTTGGTTAATAACCGAGTTGAGTGACTGTTTAAACAGCAACATGGCGCTAAGCCATGGGGCTCAGATCCATACATGTGGCCTGGGGGCCCTGCCATAAAGAGGAGGGGTCAAGGGTCAAATTATGCTTGAGTGCAAGTCTGCTGGTGTTGACAAGCTGTGCGAGAGGGAAAATAAGGAATGACTTGTGTTATATAGTGAAAGTTCAAAGTCTAAAACATTTTAAAAAAGGAGTGGCAACAGAATTTTACTGATACAGACATGAAGACAATTTAGACCAGGGGTCGGCAACAGGCGGGCTGCAGTCCGGATCCAGACTTATACGGACCCGGACCTATAATCAATACATTAATAGGGGATTTCAATTTTGACGGGGTGATTCTATTTTAACCGCTGCCGACAGGGGGCGAAAGAGACGAGTGAGCGATACAGGGAGAGAAACACAGAAGAGAGCGCGGAGAGAGGAGAGGAAAGTGAGTGAAGAGAATAATTAGCGATACAGGGAGAGAAGACGGAGAGGAGAGTGAACAGGCGTGTTAGCGGCAGACAGGAGAGACAAATAATTACACATGGCGCTCTCCAAGAAGAGGAAAGTGGACAGTGAGAACAGAGCTTTTAACCCTGGGTGGACTCATTCATGTTCATCCTGCCCACTGGGAGCACAGAGCCAGTGTGTCTCCTTTGTTCAGAGACTGTAACACTCATTAAAAGTGCCAAAACGCCACGATGAGACAAAAAAGTGTTTGACCGAACATTCCCTCTCGAGTCAGAACTGAGGTCACAAAAATTAAATATTGTTCCAGCGCAGGCTAACCAATGAGCTCCTGCATGTGCACATGAGAATGGCCCTGACACCATTACAGCCCAGATTTAAACTCCTGGCAGGACAAGTTCGAGCTCAATTCTCGCACTGAATTAAAACAAAGTGAGAGAGGGACTGCAATATAAGAGGGAAAGAAAGAGAAACTTTAAAACTGTTCAGTTGTTATGATGTGTAAAGACTGATATTGTTCTATAATCGTCTGAAACTGTTAAGTCATGATGTGAAACGGTTAACAAAGCTATTTTATTTATTTTCTCTATTTTATTTTTAAATGCAGTCAGAGAGGAACATTACACATATCCACAGTATTTTACTGTATATCTGTATAGTTCAATGTTAATTAGACCCTCCAGAAAAACGCGATTCTGCGATCGCAGAATTTACCGCATAATCAGCAAAATGGCGAAGATTTTGAAAAGGCCACATAT